CTCACACACTCACACACTCACTCACAGGTGATTCAAGTCAGACCTCTCTGTGTGAGGAACAGAGGCAGAACATTCTAGATCAGGTGGGCTGTATTCAGCCATGAATTTAAATTACGACAAACACCCACATTCGCAGTGCCTCTGCAGACGCATACCGCCTGTGATACACTTGTATCCTCAAAGACTCCGAAACTGTATCTAATGAGTGGGACTCCCCGCTGTGTCACACGCAAACTCAAACACTGGAATGAGAAAAACACAAAGGGGAGCGAGGAGAGGCACAGGGGGAGCAAAGGTTGATGCTGAAAACGTCTTGGCTCCAGCGAGCTCCATGACAGATACAAGCTCCTCGAAAGAGTAAGTAATAAAGGAGAAGGAAGATGGGAGGAAAAGGGAAGGGGGGAGCAGGAGGAGGTAAGAGACAGAGGCAGACAAAGAAATGTTGCTACAGTCAAGGACTACAGGAAGACTATGTACAAAACGTTAATACTGAAAATCAGAGAGTGAGAGGAGAGGAGTGAGAGGAGAGGAGTGAGAGGGAGGGAGGTGCGGAAGTAAAGACCATTTGCAAGACCATGGGATCAAACAGACAAAAGAGAGGGAGTTGGTCCAGTCAAGGTCCAGCGAAAGATTAACTAGGCTGGTTTGAATTTTAACATCTGAACCTATTAGTTATCCAATAATAGCTCCAGTATATAGATAGCAACCGGTTCCTTCATTGGCTCCCACATAGCACTGCACTGAATAACAGATCTACTCATGAGGGTTGAGTCCAACCACCTGTGACAAGGTTCTACAAAATCTCCAAATAAAGCGTTAATCGTCATCATGTAACTTTCAGTTTGAGTTATATTTAGAAGCTGTGTCAATTGACAAAACTGGAAGTAAATGGACTTGAATTGTACAATACTATACATAGAGAACTTGACCTGTCAACAACAGACTACAGTATATTAACTCAGTGTCTCTCTAAACCCAGAGGTGGCTTAGGATTTAGGACTAAATTTAGACTTAATTCCAAACCACCTCTGCAACACATCATTCACTTTTGACCTCTCCTTCACAGTTACACACAATCTAGACACAATCTGACAGGGTTTATACAAGATGGCAAAGGACATAAAATGCAAAAAAAATGCAAACAAAACAATATTTTCATGGTGTCGTTTAAACTTTAAAACCGAAACATAACTTTTACTGTGTAGTCACATCAGTTATAGTAATGTCTGGACTTGCTATCCATTAAAAGCACTTAAAATTCAGATATTTCAGTTTACTGCTGAAACAAAGAATCAACTAGTCGATCAAAAGGAATGCAATCTTACAGAAATGATTAAGTCATTTATCAGGGAAAAATACTAAATATTTGCTGGTTCAAGCCTTCTCATATTCTCTTTTATATAATTTAGCTGCTAATGCTTATTACATTACTGATTCATTTTCGGATTATTTTCTCGACTGACTGATTATTTGGCCTATAAAACATCATAAAACTGTGAAACATTACTAGTATCATTTCTTAGAGTCCAAAGTGATATCAAATAGCTTGTGTACAAAGATATTTGGTTTAATGTAGAATAAGATTTGTGAAGCTGGAGCCGCAAAATAGCTTGGACAGCTGGTCATACAAAAGAAGCAATTCCATAGAGTTGACTTGAACTTGTGATGGACATTTTGCACTATTATTTATAGACCAAACCATATATCAGAAGATGAAGAACAAGCAGTTGACATACAGCCTACACGCAGTCTTTTCCTCACTTCCCCTCCCCTAAGCAAGTGGAAGAAGTTTCCAGGTGGAATGGCATGAGCACAGTATTGAATGTGTAATCTCTGCCATTACTGCCGGGTATGGCGTTACGACAGCAAGGTTCAAAGCCATCTCTGGTATGCCTGCTTCATTAAAGTCATCACCTCAGCGTTCTGGTGCCCTCGTTCCCTGTGCCAGCAGCGCAGCATTCCCAAGCAGGGAGTTCCTCTCTGCAGTCATACTCCTATTCCTAGACAGTGTACAACAGGGTGGCTGTGCAAGACTAGGGTTTGAACTTGCATGAGTCAGGTTTAGAAGTTCCTTGCCACAGTAAAGCAACTATGAGGAAATTAGATCTGGGTCATATTATGTGTTCAATTTCTGGCATGCCGTGCAACAACTACAAGGGGCTTGTGCCAGGTGTTAGGCTATTAGCCTCCCAAGTCCTACTCTATTTCCCACTAAACTTCAGTCTTTCTCTCTGACACACACCAGCTTGTTTCCCACCATACACTGGTTCTCATCTGCTTCTAAGAGGCTTACAGCTCTGTTGAGAAATCCACTGATATGGCAACACACATCAGCACCACTACCACCACCTTCTGTTCTCACTCACTCACACGTAGACACACATGTTCAAACTACTGACAAGAGGGAAAGTCAAGTACCATCAAGTGAAACCCTGAATAATCTCAGCGATGTGCGAATGATAATTCAGACAAACAATGCTCACAGCTTCGGGGACCAGTTGGACGGGAACTGATACGGTTTGTACACAATTACAAAGAAGACGTTGACACAGCAAAAACCTGATCATTATTACACCAGAGGTATGAAACATGAATCAGTCGTTTGTGAACTCGAGTGCACGTCAAAGCAATCTGTAAAGCTGCATGCTTTACTCCACAACATTTCAATGGCAAATGTTGTAATTTTCACTCAGTTACTTTGAAATTGTATGTTTTAAATACAGATTATCATATTTTAAAGTAGGCTTTTATGTATTGTTTTAGATTAAACTACAGAATATAACGTAGTAAAATTCAATGAATCATTCATTCTGTCTGCATTTTTACTTTACTTTCAGAATATATTGCAGCTTCTCTAACACTTCTCTACTTTTACTTGTAGTGAAGTGCTACTTTTACTCAAGTAAAAGACCT